TGATGGTCACGTCCCCTATCCACACTGCCCCTGAGGACTTGTCCCGGATCGCTATGTCTGCTTTCTTAAGGGTGACGGGGCAGAACGTGGTCGTCTCACTGTGAGTCATGAAATCAGCGTCGGCGGCCATGTGCAGACACGCATCGCGCAGTTCATTGTGCGTGTTGGTCCGCCCCTTCCCTGTGTCACAGCGCAGCAGGTGGTTGGGCAGCCGCCTGTCTGGGATCGCTGTCTCCTTGCGGCAGTCACACGCGCCTGGAGCTGAGGAGGGTAGCCCCATCCGGAATTGCAGCGCATGCGCAAAGTGAGCAGGGGCAAGCCGTAGTGTCGAGTTGAAGGGGACTGCATTGAGCCAGTCTCCTGCCCCATACCCTGAGAGTGAGAGCATGCGCTGAGTGTGCCCGCTCATTGGGTTGAGAGGCATGATGCGTGTAGCCTGCACCTGCTCCGCGTAGCGCAGTCCGTGGACCGCGATTGCCAGCCCGTGCTGCAGCTTGACGCCCTTGGGATCAACTCGGTCGCTCTGCAGCAGCTCCTTCCCATCATCCGGCAGTGACTCCTCACACCTCTCCAGCCAGTCAAAGAGCGGGGACGTGTTGATGAAGGGCCCCACCATCTGGATCCGCGTTTCCGCCAGGGCGCCGACCGCCGACTCATCAATGGAGGTGAGCAGGTGCTGCGCTTGCGTGTAGCTTGCGAGAAACCCAACACGTCCCTCCACCGAGGGGTCTGTGAGACCTAAACCGCCGAGCGAGATGGGGAGTGACGCTTGCGCCCAGGTACGTGAAATCTCGGCCTCCCCCCGTGGGTGGCGAATGCCGCAGGCATCGAGCAGTGTCTCAAACAGCCTTTTACCCCAGTCTGACCACTCCTCGACTGGCAGGGCTGAAAGCGGCGTGGTGCGGGCGACGTAAGCGATCCTTCGTGAGATGCACCGAGAGAGCAGAAGGGAAGCCAGCTGTGGCTCCATCCGCGCTATTAAGGGCAACGGCCCGCCCATGGTGTCGAGGCTGGCACGTAGGAACGCGGCAGTTGCGTCACTGCCACCGATGAAACTGCCAAGCACCTTCACCCCATCTTCAGTGAAAGGTACGCCCACTGGTAGCGCAGCTCCCTGTCGGCCTGCCTGGGACCAGGCTGCGCATTTGGCGGGGTTGTGGCGCAGCCCAATCTCCCCAAGGTTTCCTGTGAAGTCCTCAAACGCTGCTGCACACATGGCTGCATCTCCAAGGAAAGTTACGTCGTCCGCATAGGCAAGACAGACGACAGAGGGGAAGGTGAGCGCTGTTTTCGTCAGTGCAGGGTGTATGGCGGCAGCGAACAACAACGGGCCGAGGGGATCTCCCTGTCGCACCCCGGTCTCGCTCAGCAGAGGTGGGTGTGAGAAGCCAGCATCCAGACATAGAGCCGAGGGAAGGCCGTACAGCAGTTTAACTAACGGTAAGAGCGAGGCGAGGGTGGAGTCCCGAAGAGATTTGATGATGGCGTCGCGGTTGACGCTGTTAAATGCGTTCGCCAGATCAGCCTGCAGGACCAAAGCTCCTGTGTTCACCGTGAGGTAAGTGCGTGTGATGTGGATAATCGCTTCCGCCCCACCAGGGACAGCCACGCCGAACTGGTGCGGTAGGAAGAACTCACGGGCGGCCCCTGCGGTCAAGGTAAGCGCCGTCTTGGCCGCGAGGCGCGTTATGCTTTCGCCGATGGCGATCGGCCGCGTCCCCCCATCGGGCTTGCTCAGGGCAATTAATCTCGAGGCGGTGAGGAGCTCGGCCACTGCAGGAGGTAGGTTTCCCGTGAGAATCGTGTTGACTAGTGCGTGAAGGTGCTTCCCAACGGAGTGGTTGATCAGCGCTGCATCGCGTAAGTGTTCAAACGTGGTTCCAGAGGGGCCCGCTCCTACCCCCATCTCGCAGCTTCCCAGCACCTTGGAGAAGACTGCAAATGGTGCTGATAGGTGGGGGTCAGGTGCTGGAAAAGTCCAGTCAGGTGGGGAGGCGGGCGCTGGTGGGTGTTTGGCGCGCAGGGCCTCCAGCACAGTTGGGGAGGGAATGCTGACTGGCGTGGCTTCCAGTGCCATCACGGCTCGTCGTAGGCTGCCACGTCGTGCCAACCCCTCTGCCCTAGCGATGACACCAATGTCATCGGGCTGGTGTCTAGGTGGTTGGGGCCACGTCAGTGAGCCCACTGTCTCATTGTATAGCTTATCCCACTCCCCGGACAGAAACTGACGAAGGCGGGCACTGACAGCCTTCCAATCTGGACGTCGTGGGGACAGCTGGCGAAGTGTTAAGCGCGCCAGGAATAGAACGACCATCCAAGCAGAGGTAGAGTCTGGATATTTCGCCAAGCGCAGCAGCGGCGCCAACAAGGCTGTGGCGAAAAGCTTGCGTGGGTCTGGAGGGAGGTGGCGGGAAAGGGGTGCGTGGCGAGAGTCGCGTAGTTTCGTGAGATCCCAGGCTACAACGCTGGCGAATAGCGTGTCGTCCTTGGCGAGAGTTTCTGGGGATTTTTCCTCTAAGGGTTGGGTTGGGACGTGGTTACCGCCAGGTGCAGGTTGGGGGGCGGTGTGGGTAGGGGTCTGAATGTTGGAAATCGGGGTTGGGATTGGTGGAGTGGCGAAATTTCCCGATGCGGCACGGGTTGGTGTTGGGGGACCCCTCCTGTTGGATCTCACTGCTGAGTTTCCCCCCGGCAGGTGAGTTGCGGCTGGCCTGCTCGCTCGAGCAGGGGTCTGTTGCTGCTCGTCTTCCAGTGACTCAGAGCTAGAGGTCGAGTCCGTAGATTCTGCAGCTACAAAGCTGCCGTCTGAAGTGGTTGAATTATTATCGTTGCTCATCTCAGTTAAAGCCCTCCGTCCCGCCTGCTGGTACACGTTCTCCGGACCGCCTCCTCAAGCCCTCCCGCCACGCCCAGCTGCTCGCCCTCCCCGGCCTGCAGCTCTACCTCCGCCGCGTCGGCCGCCCGATGGGCGAGCGCTATCATCCCTCTGCTCCGATGGATCTCCTGGCTGCTCTTGAGCGCGGGTGTTCCGCGGTGAGCGATCTCGCTCCCCGTCCGCTTCCTCCTGCACGTCCTGCCGCGAGCGTCCCTGTCGCTCCGATGGCTGCCGCCGATCAGATTCGTCGCCGTTTCGAAGATCAGCGGCCCGCGCCGGCGCCTGCGCGTGCGGAGTCCGTCGTGCGCTCCGACGCAGAGGCTGCGGCGCGCCGGGAACGTTCGCCTCGTCGCCGATCGACAGTGGCGCGCGGTGACGGGCAGGAGAGCCACCGTGCGGAGCGTCACGCCGAGCCTCGGTCGCCTCGGAAGCCGCGATCACCGCACTCACCACGTTCACCGCGCCGCACGGCATCGAGGAGCCGATCTCCGGACCGCCGGTCGCGTCGTCACCGTTCGCCCGGTCGCCAAGCCACACACTATCGATCGCCTGCTCCGCACGTGTCTCGCCCGCGGTCCCCATCTGCGCGTTCGCCGCGGCCGTCAAAGCGCCAGCGGCTCTACTCTCCTCGTCACGGGGGCCGATCCCCTGTTCGCCAGCGCCAACGCGTCCCATCTCGCCAGCAGTCGCCCGCTCACTCGAATGCAAGTGGACGTGGGCGTCGTGGGCAGCGGGGAGGGTATGGACGCGGCGGAACTGCGCGTCAAGCGCCGTCCGAGCTTGAGCGCGTTCTCCGAAGGTTGGACGGCGTGGAGAAAGCGCTCCACCGCTCGAACGCGGATGCGTCATCCCATTCCGTGCCGCCGGCTGGCCCCGTCGTTCCTCTTGCTGCCCTCCTGCCGCACAACCCTGAGGGCTCCCTTGCGCGTCCTGGTCGTCCGCTGCCAGCAGGGGCTGGCTTCGTGGGCGCAGGTGGTGGGGATCCCTGGGCCGCGTATGCACCCCTGCGTCCTCGCTCCCCTCCACGTGATCTCGCTGTGTCGTCCCGCCGAACGCGCGCCACTGCTGTCCTTCCGCCGATGAAGGAAGTGCCCACGGTGACCCTGGCGCGCTTGTGGTCGCTGGCGGAGAGCCTGCAGAGCCTTGAGCTGATACTCCTGGAGTCCCATGGCTCCATGGCGGTGACCCCACCGAGCACATTCTCTCAGATGCCACGAGCACGGTGTCATGCGGCGGCGTCAGCGCTATTCTCGTACGTATCGCCACTGCAGGTTGCGCCCTCGCCGGGAGTAGTCTCGGCCACCCAGCTGGCCGAGAAGGCCCTGGATCTGAAGACGCTTGTTGGATCTCGCGGAACTCCTGTTGACGTTGTCGGCGCCACCGCGTCAGTGGTCCGCCTGATGTGGTTGACCACGCGCGAAACGCTTGGTGAGCTTGAGGCCGACCGCATGTAGGCGCCCCTCTCGCGCGTGAGTAGACCCGCTCCATGTTTGCTCTCCTAGTTGTCGTTGCCTGCCATGTTCGTTGGTGTTGTCATCTTGCTATATGTCATCCTTGTTGATCTTGTCGTCCCGAACGCGCGGCCGCAGGCCGCGCCCGCGAGCGCCGGCGCGAAGCGCCGGCGCGAAGTGCCGGGAAAATTGGAACACCGAATGAAGAATGAGCTAAACCAGAGGCCAGGAGGCCATTATATAGCTGGGGAAGAGAGGGGAAGAGGCTAGGAGGGAAGAGGCTAAGTCCTTGCTTCTCTCTCTCTCGCTCTCTCGAACGAAGGCGGGAAAATTGGAACACCGAATGAAGAATGAGCTAAACTAGAGGCCAGGAGGCCATTATATAGCTGGGGAAGAGAGGGGAAGAGGCTAGGAGGGAAGAGGCTAAGTCCTTGCTTCTCTCTCTCTCTCTCTCTCTCTCTCTCTCTCTCTCTCTCTCTCTCTCTCTCTCTCTCTCTCTCTCTCTCTCTCTCTCTCTCTCTCTCTCTCGCCAGGTCCAAATCGCTCCTTCCATTGTTGTTATAACGCAGGCTGATTTTACTCCACACATTCAAACTCTCTCTCCCCCGCTCGCACACCCAAACGCACATGCACACCAATGCGACCACCCCCCTCCTCACAGAACCCCACCTCACCTCTATGAGTCTGACGACGGAAGTTTCATTTCTCTCTCTCGCCAGGTCGAGAGCGGTTTTTCTATCATCGTTGGGGAAAAGGGGGTCCGCTGCATTAGGGGTAGGCAGGGCAGGGGGGAACGAAAGAAAATAATTGATAACAAGAGTGAGTTGGGAAGACTTTCATGGCGGCAGCAGCTTAGCTCTGGGATATCGAACATGATGCATCGTGGTTTCAAACACATGGTTACCAGCTCACCTCCATGGTCCAGAAGCAGCTTCACCATGGCATCGAGCTTCTTACGAGCGGCATAGTGAATGGCCATGCCCCCTCCTGGACCTGCATGGTCGGGACGAGAGAGGGGGAGGGGGAGGAGAGATGTAAGCTATGGATGGATAGCTGTGCTGTGGCATGGTGAATGACTGTGCTGTGGCATGGTGAATGACTGTGCTGTGGCATGGTGAATGACTGTGCTGTGGCATGGTGAATGACTGTGCTGTGGCATGGTGAATGACTGTGCTGTGGCATGGAAGAAAGTGGTAGCATGGTGGTGGAAATCAGGTGGAAATCGGAGAGGAGGATTTAAGATTGGGGGCCGAAACCCCAAAAAACTCTGCTAATATGCGCATGGGATGTATGCAAACGTGAGGATTGATTCGCAAAAGCAAGCCAGCATGCCCACCTTTGGAGTGGGCGCGAACAAGGGCGCCCATCTGCAGCAGAAGTTTCGCCGCCTCAAAGCCCTCTGCCCGGCTGCTGGCGAGAATGACTTTTGGGGCGCCTCAAAAGACAACAAGCCCACCTTTGGAGTAGGCGCGAACAAGAGCGCCCATCTGTAACAGAAGTTTCGCAGCCTCAAAGCCCTCTGCCTGGCCGCTGGCGAGAATCAACGGCGTGCGACCCTGGGAATCCACGCACTGGTTGGGGGAACGACGGGGACGAGGGGGAGAAAAAGCACAAAGCATTTGCTTTAACCCGTCTGCAGCAGGGTGCAGCGAGGTTGTTTTTGAGACGTCTCAAAAACAACCTCGCTGCACAAAGCACAAAGCATTTGCTTTAACCCATCTGCAGCAGAAGCTTCGCCGCCTGAAAGCCCTCTGCCCGGCAGCTGGCGAGAATTAAAGGGGTGCCACCCTTACCGTCCACACACTGGTGGGAGGATGAGGGGGGGACGGGGGGGGATGACGGGGAAATGAGGGGGGATGGCCGCGAAGAGGGACGAGGAGGGAATGCGGGGCTAGGGGGGCGAGAGACACGAAAAAGGTTTATCCTCCAGGGCTACTGTGTATCACCTCATGTATGACCTCTAACCCACAAGAGAATGTAACAGGTTACTGTGTAACCCGCGTCAGGCACGCTAGCTTCCAACAAGCCTCACATTGGCGCCAACAGGCATCGGCGACTTAAAGAAGCATGAATAACAACATTGAACAGATCGTTCCCGGATAAATGCTTATATGGAAGCTAAGAGAAGAGAGGAACGCGATTAAAAGTCTCACGTTGACCACAATGAGACTCACGTTGACGCTGGTTCCACGTGAAACCAGCTCTCGGATGGCTGACGTGTTGCCGATCACCGCGGCGTAAAGTATCTGCCCCTCTCTCGATCCACTCTGACCCATGATACTGCGCTTAGTATGCTTGTCAAGCCGCTTTACTACTACACAAATTCTGAAGTCAAACAGGCTCCTCCTCCTTTCTCTGATACTAGCACTGTTGACAATATAACTTTCTTCGACACAGAGGAAACTCAAGCTAACAGATATCCACTAGAAACTAAGCGTTTTATTCTTCGCGAAACTTAGGTGTTCAGTGCAAGGACGAGGTTGAACGCGGTTTAAGAGTTATTAACGTCGTTTTAACAACCCATTGACGGATTCTGACGAGGAAGATCGATCTGACCACGGAGCACGCTGCGAATTCGCGAAAACGTGGAAACGATTACAGAGTTATTTTCTCCAGTGCGGCTGCGAATGCGGGTACGGAGCTGAAGAAAGAGGAAGGATGGCATGGGGTTGGATGCGGCTGACCACCATCAAATAAGCGCTGAAGGTTCGGCGCAATAGAGCGCATTGCAGTCGCTACATCCGAAGGCTGACCCAAGTCAGTGGGCAAGCTGACAGTTTCTAGGAAGAAGCTCCCGTGGCAGTTGCTCGTGGTTTTGACATGTGAGGGCGGGTCCAACTTAGGGCAGTCCGAAGTGAAACGTCGATGGATGTCGCTGGATGTCGGCGAATGTCATCCCTCGGATCGACGGTTCCAACCGTCAGGATTTACCGACATCCCCAAACGAATGTCGACGTTTCACTTCGGACACCCCCTTAGGGCGGGTCAGGCAGGTTCGTTTTAGCCATTTTCGTAAACATAACGCGTTTTGTTTCAATTCCTCTGACTTTACCGTAAGGTGTTTTATGTACAGTTCGAGTCAAACTAGTTTTTGGGTTGCGAAGCAACCCTTTACGATCCATTTTGACATTTTTTTTCATGGTTACTTTTAATAAAACATGAAAAAAAGTTGTAAGCTACAGTATCACCCTTCATATTGTGCATGTTGAAGTGTTTTGAATGTTGGTAGCAGTTTTTGTAGTAGTTTTGTGCATAAATGTTATACTGTTTGTATTATATCTTTTACTGTTTGATGTACTGATAATTGCATGTAATAAATGTTATGAGTACTAATAATGAATTACACGCCACACAAGCTTAAATGAATGAAATGATGAGGCATTATATATAGGTGCATACCTAGTAACGATACACGCATGAAAATGCATTTGTATGCATGAAAATGCACCACACCAGTATATCATACAAATGCGTGATAGTTAACGACCCAAAAACTAGGCTTACGCATCCCCTGCCTAGCATGGGGGGAAGTCAATAGCAAAGTCTTTGAATAATCAACTAGCACATGAAACAAAAAAATCTGCTAACTCTAAAAAAGAGGTTCACTCTATCAAATCCAGTTCGAAGTGGCGAACACACGAGTCACTGAGTGCGCCAATGAACCAATGAGAAATGATAGAATTGAACCCCCTTCTTAAAATTAGCAGACATGCATTGTTATTGCTATGGAGAATTTACACACACATATACACACACACATACGCATATATACACACACATGCACGCACATATATAACGACACACACAGAACCATACGCATTCGCACAAAAATAGTTAATCACGCAAGCATTAGCAATGCAGTCGACGATATAAAGTATATAAAAACCCAAAGCGAGATAAGTTCTGTCTAGTCAATCTTGTCAAACTCATATCATATAGCTTGTCTAGGCTATAGTGGGGTAGACACTATGGGGTACAGTTTCCTAGGGTTTCCTATTTGTACCCAACCTTTGTCAGATTTATATGACATAGTTGCTGTAGGCTATAGTGGGGTAGCACATATGGGGTACAGGGTTTCTAGGGTTGTATTTGTACCCAACCTTTCCTTAGTCATTTCATTCCTGCTTACTCATTTCACATGGTATAGAGCGGGTTCCCTGTGGAACTCTGCCTAGGGCCCACCGAAGTGCGCCCCGAGGCGCGCTCAACTTTTTTTTCCGCTCTCGAGCGACCCTCCGTGTCGCCTCCCTCCCACACGCGGCCCAGCCGCCCGCTAAGTCGCGGCCCCAGCCGCCCGCAACGATCGCGGCCCCAGCCGCCTGCTCGACGCGGCCCCCAGCCGCCTGCTCGACGCGGCCCCCAGCCGCCTGCTCGACGCGGCCCTGCCGCCCGCTACGCCGCGGCCGCCGCCCACTACGATCGCGGCCCCGGCCGCCTGCTACGACCGCGGCCCCAGCCGCCTGTTCGACCACGGCCCCGCCGCCCGCTCCTGTCGCGGCCCCGGCTGCCTGCTCGCACGGCCTCGCCGCCCGCTACTACCGCGGCCCCGGCCGCCTGCTCGACCGCGGCCCCCCAGCCGCCTGTTCGACCGCGGCCCCGCCGCCTACTACCGTAGCGGCCCCGGCCGTCTTCTCGCGCGGCCCCGCCGCCCACCTACTACCGCGGCCCCAGCCGCCTGCTCGCACGGCCCCGCCGCCTGCTACGACCGCGGCCTCCCAGCCCACTAGGCTGCGGTCGCCGCCTGCTCAACCGCGGCTTCGCCGCCCACTACGCATCGGCCCCGCCGTCCACCTGTAGCGACTGTGCGGGTGGACCTCTGAGCAGCTGTGCCGCCGAGCCGCCCGGGAGCCGAGCCGCCCTGCAGCCGAGCCGCCCGGGAGCCGAGCCGCCCTGCACCCGAGCCGCCCTGTCGCCGAGCCGCCCGGGAGCCGAGCCGCCCTGCCCCCGAGCTGCCCTGCCGCCGAGCCGCCCGGGAGCCGAGCCGCTGTGCACCCGAGCCGCCCGGTCGCCGAGCTGCCTTTCTGTCGAGCTACGCGACCTGCCCTGCCTGGTGAGCACAGTCCCACTGTCACTGCGTGCTCTCCCCCCTACTGCTTGCACTGCTTCACAGTCGTCGCCATGGCTACCCCTAGTGTTCTAGCTTTTGACGCTGAGGGTCGCGCCATTGATTTTGAGGTCTGGCTAGACGACCTGCAGCTGTTCTTACAGTGCGACAGAGCTGACGACCTTTCTCTCTTTGACCTCACCTCTGGCGCCTCTCCTGCTCCTGCTACTGATGCTGATCCCGCTGTCCGCTCTAAGTGGGCCACCCGCGATGCTGCTGCACGTCTTGCTGTGCGTCGCCACCTCCCTACCTCTGAGCGTGCGCACTTCAGTCAGTACAAGAGTGCTCAGACCTTGTACGACGCTGTAGTTGCGCGCTACTCCTCCCCTGCCACTGCTGCACTGAGCCGTCTCATGCTTCCCTACCTCTTTCCTGACCTCTCTGCCTTTCCCACTGTCGCTGACCTCATTACGCATCTCCGCACTAGTGACACTCGCTACCGCGCCGCCCTTCCTGCTGAGTTCTGCGCTAAGAACCCCCCCCCCATGTACATCGCTCTCTACTACGTAGTCGCGCGCCTCCCTGACTCCCTTCGAGTCGTCAGGGACCACTTTCTCGCAGTCTGCCCCACCACGCTCACCGTCGATCTCCTCGAGAAGGCCCTCCTCGCAGCGGAGAAGAGCATAGTCGCTGTAGGTGCTTCTCGTGGTGACCCTCGCACCCCCATCTTTGAGGGGTGCTCTCCTTCCCCCTTGCTGCCCTCTGTTGCCTCTGCTGCTGCTGCCGACCTGCTTGGTCTTGAGTCGGTCGGCGCGGCGTCTGCCCCTAGTGGGAGACGTCGCTCCAGCAAGGGCAAGGGGGGCAAGGGCGCGGGTGGAGCTGGAGGGGGCGGTGGCGGTGGCGGCGGTGGCGGCGGAGGGAGTGGGGGTGGCGGCGGGACTAGTGGCGGGGGTGGTGGTGGTGGTGGCAGCAGCGGCGGAGACAGTAGTGGTGGTGCCAGCGGTGGTGGTGGAGGCAGCGGCGGAGGTGGAGGCGGCGGAGGTGGAGGCGGTGGAGGCGGCGGCGGAGGAGGCAGTGGTGGTGGAGGGGGTGGAGCTGGTCGGGGTGGTACCCAGCAGCGTAGCGGCGGTGGTGGTGGCCAGCGCTCGCAGCGGCAGCAGCAGCAGCGCTCTCGGGACATCCCTTCGCCTCAGCAGCTTCGTGAGTGGTACGCTGGGCGTCAGAGGGGTGGGGGTACTGGTCCCTGCACCTACGTTCTTCGTTCCGGCGACCGCGCGGGTGAGCAGTGTGGGGGTGCCCACGCCACCCAGCGCTGCTTTGGCCGCCTGACGGACGCCTGGCGTCAGCAGTTCCCTGGGGCTAGTGAGATCCCTCGCTGGGATGAGCTTCTCAGGGCTGGTGTAGCGATCTTTGATCTTGATTTTGATGCTATCCTTACTGCTATGTATGTTGTGGATTATAGTGAGGAGAATGAGGGTTACCGTTGTTTCCAGCCCGACCCGGGCATTGGTACTGCTGCGCCAGGTGCTTGTGAGGCTGCTGCTCTAGGTGCCAGTGCGTCTGCGCTCTCAGGTACTGGTGAGACTGCGCTCTCAGGTACTGCGTCGTCCTCGTCCTCCCTCACTTTCACACTTGACTCCGGAGCTTCTCGCTCCTTCTTTCGAGACCGCACTACCCTTACGCCGCTCGGCCGGCCGGTTGCAGTCTCCCTTGCTGACCCCTCTGGAGGTCCTGTCCTGTCTCACTTCTCCACTGTCCTCCCGTGTCCGGCTGCCCCTTCGGGCACCCTGTCGGGTCTGTACCTTCCCTCGTTCTCCACGAACTTGGTGAGTGGAGCGGACCTGCAGGATGGGGGTGTTCACCAGTTCACTCCTGCGAGTCAGCGGGTGACCCACTGCACGGAGGCACGCACAGGCCGACACCTGGCCACGTTCTCGCGTCGGCCGGGGTCGAGTCTCTACACCCTGACCGTTGAGTCTCCTCGTGTCCCTGCGTCTGGTCAGGTGGCTGCGTCGGGTCAGGTACTTGCTGCTGCGTCCCGGTCAGGTCCTGAGTCTGCCCCCTGTTCTTGTCGCCTCCTGTCTCACGAGACTCTCCTGTGGCACCACCGTCTTGGCCACCCCTCCTTGCCCCGTCTTCGGAGCATGGCTTCCCGTGTCCTTGTCTCTGGTCTTCCCCAGTCTCTCCCTCCTCTCCCCTCCGGGCCAGGACCTTCCTGTGTCCCCTGTGTCG